TGCCCAGGGAAGTGGTGGAGTCACCGTCCCTGAAGGGTAATTCAAAGATGTGTAGATGTGGTCCTTAGGGACATGGTTTCGTGGTGACTTGGTAGTGCTGGGTTAATGATCTTAAAGGTCTCTTCCAACCAAAATGATTCTATGAAAAACAGGCAGTTCAGATTGCTATTAGAAGCCTGACTCTCAAGCCAGTGAAAAATGCAACAAAACCAGCCTGCAAGCCCCAACACAACGCTATTTTGTGGAAACCATGAATAGCTATCCTTGGTGTGTATTGGACGGCCTCTGTTGCACCCTTTGAATATTGTTCCACATATATTTGTTCACAAAGCAGTAGCATTGTTTCTTTGCAAGGAAAAGCACCAGTCAGCCCTGTGACTTTTGTTGCAATTTATATATACTGTATTCCACCTTATGAGCTCAGTGTCCTTAAGAAAATGTAAATCTGTAAACTATAATGAAGATAGTTTCTGACTAAAGCCAGAACAAATTAGTTATACTTGAAAACTTTTTGTTTTTCTGCCTTGAACACCCTGCGGCAGCCAGTTCAGGACCCAAACTGGGATTCTTTCATTCAAGTTTCAGAGAAGAATCTATAACCTAGGAAATATAATTTAGGGATAAGACCCTAAGGCCAATGGCCAATTTGTTACATAAAGTAAAATTTACCTATCAACGATGGCTATTTTAATGGACCGTTCTGTAAAAGCACATAACAACCATCAAAGATAAAAAAAAAAAAAGCCCAGCATGAAAAGAAAAATGCAAGCATGCAAGTAACTGATACTGTCTTTCATGACTTAAAGAAAAATCTTTCCTGAGAAAAAAATTCCTTCAACTCCCTACACAGACAGGATAAGAATGGAATGGATTTGAAAAAGTACATTGTCAAACACTGACAACAATGTATACACCAACTTGAAAGACATGATTTTGACAAGCCCAGCAGATTACTACTTCTTTGTCGAATCATGTATTACTGCCCTTTCCTCAAATAACTCCCAATGTTCTATTTATCAAGGAAAAAAAAGTTCAAGTTTGACCAACGCCATGCACTGCAGTGCAACTACAACTGACCTTGGGAAAACAGAACATATAACCTATGCCCTTTAACTGGTAAATACATCCCTGTCCCAGATAACATCAGTATACGTATCATCATGCACCACACGTCTCAAACAGCTCTTCTGTTTTGCCCACCCAGACAACTCCCAGAAGGAAACAATTTGCTAATCAATGAACTGAGGGAAGCTAAAAGGCTCCACGATTCTGGGAAATCTACTGTAGCCCAGAAGAGCCTTTGAGGGTCAGGAAGGAAAGGATCCAATAGTTTTCTGAGGAGTGGCATATTGGACTGATGCTTCCGTGAAATATTCTTGGAAGAAAAAAAAAAAATTCACGCTTCAACAAATGTAAATGTTTAAACTGTGAACTTAGTCTTCAGTTGACTTCAAACCTGCTACCATATGTCTTTCCTTTTTGAGTCTACTTAACATTAAAATAACATGCTTGAACTCCACAAATAACCCATCTGCTGTTCCCTACTTCTGCTACTTTAAAAGCTTATCAGCTGCTATCCATTGCAGTCGAACTTTCAGTATAAAATTAGCAAATAATATTTATTATTCATTTTGCCTAATTACATTAATTTCAGGTACTGTGCTCATCTTAGGAGCTCCAACACTTGAAATAACAAGGGAACCCCAAACAGCTAAGATTCAGAAAACAATACCAGAAGTATTTCATTAAGCAACTTAACTCTGTCTTCCTTGACTGAGAATTCACTTTTGACCAACCATGAGTAGGAACAGAAGTGCCATTTCAAGATTTCATATCATTCAAAGGACCACTACAGATTCCTCTTAGCAAGCAGATAAAAAGACAGGGCAGAGTCATGGAAAGGAGCGTGTAAGGTTCCTCAGGTAACTGCACATACCTGCACTATATATATTTTGCACAGTACTTACAAGGCTAATATGAACCAATGCAACACAACCACCATTACCTTTCATCACCTGAAACACACCTTCAGGCCACAACGCACACCTCTGGGATTGCTTATACATTCCGAGTAGGCAACGACTAGATCAAGAAAAATAAAATTCAAGGAACATCCAAGCAGCTAAGACCTCAAGTCTCCTTCACAGTTAAGTACTCTAGTAATTTATGATACACTGTGGTTCCTTCCTGCCTACTCTCTTGCATTCAGGTTTTCAAGCAAAGCTTTGCTGCTTCTGTTTCAAGAGAAATGGATCATTTCACCCAGCCTCCCATCTGGTTTGATTGTTAGGACTCTGCGCTGCATCATCTATGGGTTCAAATTTTAAAAACTGGTGAGACAACATATTTACTTATTGATTACAACAGATGAGTGCTGCAAAGTATCCACTTCTCAGCATGATTCACATTGTACTCTATGAATTCCTTGCAACCTCTGGCATTTTAGAAAGATGCAGTATTAAAATATTCTGAAAAACTAGATTCTTTTCAAGGAAAAAAAAAAACATACATCTATGAATAGGGCAAGACAGCAGTCACTGCAACAATGCAATTACGCATACAAAAGCATGCAGACAAGAACAACAATAAAAGAAACAGAAAATAGCATCAATCACAAGCCCTACATTTTATTTTAATATTTTCCAAGTACAGAGATTTATTATGCTGCAAAGCCACTGAAATACCATTTTGCATAAGGCGAGGTAATGGATTCTAACAAATACAGAGAATGCCAAGAAAACTCTTGTACTATTTAGCTTACCAGGATTGCAGACATAACGGGAAGACAAAACAGAAAACACCATGATATTTGAAGTGTTTACAAAAGACAGTAAAGTACCACAGGCAAATGTTTCACTGCATCTAAAAATTAACAAGGTTTAAAAGAACGCAAGAGGATCTCTTCCCAGTCTGCTAGGAAGTACTGTGAGGTGTACTGTTTACCTAAGTTGCAGAATAAGAAAATGGAATCAATGACACACTAAACACTTCTGTGTTTTATATCTATCTATCTATCTATATATCTATCTATACACACACACACACATTGTCAATCATTTCAAGAGCACCAGATGCAGTGTGCAAGAACAGACTGTGAACTTGAGGTTTTGCTGATAGATCATTGCAAAAATAACCCAGTTATGTGAAGGAATCAATCCAAATTTGTATTATTGACCAGATGTGTCTGTCTGCCTGTCAGTACCAATTTTACACAGCACACAAGGACTCTCCATCATATCCTTCACTTATTTGGGAATCAGAAGTCAGAAGTCACTTGACAGCACTAAACCTATGATTCTAGAAGTGTCTAGAGATACATATAGTTGTGTTTCACCTTGGATTCTTCAGCAATTGTTGCCACATATGATGGTGATTCCTACTGCCAAGATACTCCTCTCAAACTCCCCTAATTGTACCAGTAGATTGTAACATAGTACACAGTATCACGACGGTGTTTGCATTATACAACACAACAATTTAGAACCACTATTATGACCCATATGATTAACATACATAAATAGGCAGATCAGTACTTTCTAAAACAACTGTTTTAGAAACAGTTTTAGAAACAAACAACTTTGTCCCTGCTTATTGTATGGGGGTTAGACTAGATGATCTTTGGAGGTCCCTTCCAGCCCCGACATCCTATGATTCTATGATTACAAACTCAGGCAACATGTTTAATCATGAGATGCAATATGAAAAAGTATGGAAAGGCCATGACACACATTTGGGAAAAAAAAAACAACTAATACCTTTTGAATGTTCATAAGGGTGATTTTTTAAGATTTTACTGAACAACCCTTTGCTCTCTTAGTAGTAGGGAAAACTCCAGTTTGAGAAATCCTTCTGGACTATTATGATGATGAAAGCTATAGCAGCAGCTTCTTTGTCATTTACATTGCCACTAAGTGGCAGAAGATGAAACAAGGACAGACGATGGTAGATCATGGTGGTGCTTTGAACATATTTCTTTTTAATAATAATAGAGTATAAATTAGGTAGCTGGTATCCCAATTGCTGCTCAAACCATGACTTACTGACAGGTCCCTCAAACCTGAGGAAAGCACAGACATCTGAGAGATGAATTGCTAGATAGTTCTGAAATTGTGACACATATGTGGAAGCCCCTATTAAGGGGGTAGAGAGTTAACAAGCCTGTGGATAAACTAGGAAGTGACAAATGGCAAAAGGGCACAAAAGCAGTTGCACAGAGCTGGCTGTGAGCCACAGAAATTCTGTTGATATCACCTCTCCTCAGAGGTCCTGGTCAGATTTATGAGGAAAAAGGCAACAGTACCTTATATAGAAAGTCAATAGGAAGCATGGAATGTCAAGAAACAGGAAGGAAAACCACTATAATCTCTACTTTCGAACTTCTAACTCCACAGAGAGTATTATGTTCAGCATACCAGAGTCATTTTCTGATATGTTGATATAATAATTTACGATACAGGTGAGTAATTTAAAAGTTAAGACTGAGATACTTCAAAAAACTGTCCAAATTACCATTTATAATATTACGGATTACAACCATAGTACAGATTACAGCCTTAGTGACTGTTGCTAAGCATCAGAATGAAACACTGGAAGTTAATGGAAACTGTCCTTCAGATATTTCACTGTAAAGCATTTAATTGGATTTTCATCAGAAAATAATTTTTTTTAAAACCCTTACACAAAAGTACAAACTCGAGATGTATTTTAAGATATACTTAAAATGAAGAATAAACACAAAGAACTATTTGTCTTAAACAACAAGAGAAAATGTTCCAAACATACTTCTTCCCTGTTCACTTTATTCACTGGTTATTATGCAGGCAAAAGGGGAGATTCTCTGTTATGATGTATTTTACTGAATATATTCCACAGAATACGCATAGAGTTATCTGTAGGACAGCATAAATCTATCCCATGACAGATGACGAAGGAATTAGATGAGGATCTAAGAAAAATAAATGTGAGAGAAAGCACAGAAAGAAAACATGAAATTCACTCACATAAAGTTTTCTGGATATTCACTCAAGGCCATATCAATGATATTCAAAGCATCATGGTAGTGTTTCTGGGCTGATAGCAAGAGTGCAAGGAGATGAAGAGAGTTGGCATCATCTCCTTGTAGTTGTAGAGCCTGACGAACATAACCCAAAGCTTCTGGTATCTGATTTAAAATAAAGAATATTAGTATTGCCTAATACTTAATTTCATATCCGTAACATTTTCAAAATATTCACCTGGATACCAAGTAGAATTGTACAGATTACTGTAAGACACTAGTCAGAAGTTTAAAATGGACCTGATGCTCTACAGTGAACAGTAAAAATTAAACAACATATTAACCCTGGAAAATAAGATACATGTTTTAATAAAACAGTTTCCTTCAGCCCTTTAAAATATTGACTTACTTTTAAAGTATGGGCTGTATTGCTGTATGATTTTGAAAACATTTTAATTGCAATACATCAACCTAAATGTACCGTTAGACTTCAATAGTAACTTTTCTTCACACAGAATTTCCTGATCCCCTCAGCTGCATGTGGTTTTGGTCACAGAGTCACAGCCCGCTACTGAAAAATATTTTGTGCTCTTAAAGTAACAATCCATTCCACCCTAACGTGACATGGTCCCATGTCTCTGCTACTCATTAGCAATGAAAAGTAGCCACCTAGAGTATGTAAACTACTGTGCTCAAAACCACTTCCTGAAATAACTATGACACAGGAAAATGCTTTCTGCGTGTCATGGTAAGCAGCTCTAAGTTATCCAAACTTATGATATATGGTGGAATCCTAAATCCCTTAAACAAAACAGCGGCACAAGTTGGACCGAGCTCTGATCTCTTTTATAACTTTAAAATATTTTCCAGTTTTCTTAAACACATTTTTGTAATTTTGTTCAAAATAACCAAACATCCTACAAGTACTCATAAAAGGCACATATTTTACTAGATACTCAAAATTTAAGCACTGTCAAGATCACTAAATCCTAGATTCAAGAGTCCCACTCTCCAGACAACCAGTCTGAGCAGAGATCATACATAACAGGTAAAAGCGGGGCAAAAATTGACTTTTTTTTTTTCTTCTCCATCCAGCAACATAATGTTGGAAAAAAAAAAATGGAATGGCTTATGTCTTTTTTCTTATAGTGGAGCTGGAAATACTGTGGCAGAACTCTGGAGAAGCGTGTGACACTGAAGGTGTTTGGAGAGAGTATTTCAGGGTGTTTTTCCATATATATGTGCACAAGGAAAACCATTTTTTTATGGAAGAAATCTTCATCTGTACCCATCAATAGATAGAAATTATAATCTTCATATGACAGTGTGATGCTGCTGCACTTTTAAAACATAACTAACCTGTCTGGATATGGCAAGCTGCAGTGCCAAGTAAAATGCTGCCAGATGATCTGTTGGAGACAAACTGTGAGCCCTTTAAAACAAAAAGAAAACAGAAGACCACTGAATTTTTCCCCTGTTAATACAGGTTAGGCATACACACAAACATATATATATAGCATGCATCCATATTCAGACATCTTCACTACAAATATGCTCCCATTGTGACTGATGTTCATTCCAGTGACTCTTCATATCATACTTTTCAGTCATCCTTGATTTAAAGAAGTACTTTGGGCCGTTAAAGAGGCATTTTAATAGAAATTAATTATGTAATTTCAGTATAAATCTTAAAAGTGAGCAACACAAAATGATTTTTCAATCAAAATATACCCTTAAACAGACACTAGATGTAATTATCTAAGAACAGTTACAATAAAAACTCATTAAGCAGTCTTCTTAGAGAAAAAGGAAGAAAACAAGAAAAAAAAAAATCCCTTAAAACAGGTTCCTTTCAAAGAGAAGGCTTCTATTATCTGCATGGGAGGTATCCAAGTGATCGCACCTACCCTGGCCGGGATGGTTGTGAAGCACAGAACACAAAGAAGAGCAGCACCATTAAAGTAGGTCAGAGTTTTGTTCATTCTTCAGACTCCCAACATTTAGAGCACATTTTCAGCTCAGCATACAAAGCCTTCGAGGAAGCCACTCACTTTTTGGCTTTGAGTTGCCAAAAATTAAGATTATGTTAGCAGAGCACCTGGCTATGTAGTAATGTAACAGACATCTAGGCTGCTCAGGACCTTTATTGCAGTAAAAGGCAGTGTAAGATCTGACTTATCATTAACCTATGTTAGAAGTTCAGATGAAGAAGTCTATGCTGATGATCTTTTTATAACTTTTGTCCACAAAAATGTTGAGCTGCCCAACAGCACTAGTATTTTGTGATTACTCACTCTCAAAACATTTGTAACTACTGCAGTTGTAAGTAACAGCAGTTACTAAAACGAATAACTGTTTTCTGCCTTTAAAAAAATTTTTTTCAAATGTGCACATTTTGTTGTAATCATTTCAACACATCCTATAGAAGATGTTCTTGTAATACACTCTACTATCTTCCACTGTAATACAATCTAAGTGAGAACAAAAGATTTTAACTTAAAGAGTACTTGTTCAGTCACTAGCTTCAGCTAGTGAAAGAATAAAGCTGTTACTATCTATCAACCATTTGATGAGTTCTGTGAAACTTAATTCACACCAAGTACAGGAAAAGCACTGAAAGTCTTCCAGGGGGAAAAAAAAAAAGTTAGTGAGACACCTCCTCAACACTGTGAATACAGCAACAAGTTCCTTCTCAAATGGCCACTATCTCAAACAGGTAGCCTTGAAATCTGGCTTAGCTAAAACATGACTGTATTTCTTCAGGACCTATTTCTTCAGGAATTGGTTCTCTAGTAAGTGATTGAAAAACTCACCAAAAAAAAAAAATCAAAGAAACCCACAGAACAAAAAAACCTTGGCTCATAGAATAGTGAGTCCAGTAGACCTGCTTGCTTTATAAGCAGTGTAGGAGATGAATGGAGAATTTCAACTTCCACCTCCTGGAAAACATTTATTTTTAAGATGCAGAAGAGGGAGTTGGCATGACTCTGGTATGCTGAACATAATACTCTGTGGTAATAAATTTTTGCTAACATCCTATACCTATGTTATCAACACAAGGAACAAGCAACATTATCAGTGACACTGAAAGGTATTTCTAGTACAGCTGATCTAACAGGTGTATCTGTATGAACAGAAATGGGGAAATGTTAGTGTGCAGGATAATCACCTTTGGAAACATATTTTTCTCCCTTCTCTTCAGAAGGTAGCAATATCACTAACAGCAATATTGGCAACTCACTAGAGTTTTCAAAACATATGCCCTGCACATTACTAAAACCCCTGAAAGATACTTTTAAGTACAAGCCTATGTACAAGTTCATTCTCAGAAAGGCCCCCAGAAAGGATGAATATATAACTTAACATCAATAACCTAGAACACACACTTAAAAATACAAAATATTGTTTCTAGGAAGCTGTATTAACTGGGGGAAAAATAAAATAAAAAAAAAACAAACTACAACCAACAAACTGAAACAAAGAAAACCCCAAAGCATCAAAAAGATATGTAGAAAGCAGATGCAACTAATCCTCATGTTCCCAAGACTTTGTGTATAAATCTATATTTTGCTAGTTAGTACAAGTATTTCAAGACTATATCCCTACAAAATTCAAGTTCCACTCAACCTGTATAGTTTAAGGACATCTGTAATGATTCACTGAAGAGATGCTAGATATGTTTTCAGATTTCAGCTGGCACTATTCACTGCTAGGAAGGCCTTCAGAACTGTTTTGAACTGTTAAGAAAGTATCAAGAGACTTTTGTTCAGCTGTACAGAATCAAACAGAAACATTCCTGGGTGAAAGATGACATAAAACACAACCAAGCAACAATATATGAGTAGAAATGGTGAAAGAGTAGCTTTGCAGTGGTAAGGATATAAGCTGAATGTTGTTTGAAAACTAGTTCTAAAATACTGTGTACTGGATATTCTCTTTTAACTCAAGCCACTTTTTTTTTTTCCCCGCTAGGGCAAACTAATAAAATAATAACAAAATAAGCAGTATGCTGCCTATAAAAGCATCCTCATATTTACATGTGGTCAAAATGCTGCACAACCTTAACCCTCAGAAAATCAAAATTTTGCAGACAGCTTTATAGGGAACGACCCTCAGAATTTTAGGAACCGCTATACTAAACTGGAGGGTAGAGTCAGCAGATGCTGAACTTGAATGGGCTGGCTTCAGGCTATGGTTCATTTCATCCCTTGCTGTTTCAAAAAATCATCAGAAGAAAACAATTCACTGTTAGAATCTCAACAGTAGTGAATGGGCAGAAATGGCAAGAAAAGGTTAGCACAGTATTTTTGGAGCAGTGATTATTAAGAGGGATGGGGAACTGAGATATAAACCAGGAGGTATCAAGTTCAGTTTCAGCATGGAGGAAGAATGCCAAAGTAATACAAAAACTACTAAAAAAAATTAAGGAACAGGAAGAGCAAAGATATGTTGAAACAATTAGATACAGAGGAATAGTTAAGGACCACTACATACCAGCCTCATGCTGAAGTTATCTGCAAAACACTTTTTCAACCCTGTGCACTCAGATATAAAATTACCATCAAAAATCCCAGACTTCATATTCACATTAATGAACAAACTGGTATTTCTGAAGCATTTAGGCCTATCTCACAGAATTAGGGTTTTCAAGGGTATATAACCATAAAAAGGAGCATATTTAGATGCTGCAGAACTTCTGCCAGCTTTGTCATCGAGATTTCTTTCATAATTAGGGTAAAGATGTTTTCTTTCACTCCTTTATGGTCATTTCATTTGCAGCGTTGAACCCTTGAGAGTGAAGTACTGTCATGCCTAACAGCACTTCTTCTGTATAAGGAACTTATGTTAAGATGGGGCATCTGTGTTGCCACTGTCTACACTGTATGATCTCCAGACTGAATTTTTATTTCCTCCTTATCTGTATTTTGCCCCTCATCTACAGCAGCAGGGCCTCAATTATTGCTCTGCTACTACAGAGCTAATTGCAAAAGCCTGTTACACAATCTGATCAGTGACCAACACTTCCAGAAACACCATATATCAAACCATGATTTGAAACCTCGCATCATACAATTTTCCCTTCTAGATCAGAACAGAATATTCCTTTGCACAAATACATTATACTACAAAGCAACACAAAATTTTTATTTAAAGTTAAATAAAAGGAAATCCTTAGAAATCGTACTAGATATTTGACAGAAAATGAAGTAAATGCTAAAGAAATACACTTTGTACTCAATGAAGGGAGACTCCCAGAGGTGAAATCCTCTTTCCGCAATCTTTTACAAGTACCTCTTTTTAAGATAATAAAAGCTTCTCACTACTTTTAGCAGAATGGAATGGAAAGATTAACACTCACCTCTGAAATGCAAGAAGAGCCTTTCTCTGCAAGACCTCTTGCATCCCTCGCAAAGATGCTAAAAAGGATATATTTAATCAGTGATATGCAAGATCAAGAGATTTCATTCCACATACTCATTGAAGAAGTGTTAATGTACTGACTGAAAAAATAGTTCCAAGCCGAAGCTTTAAGTCTAGCATTCTGCTAGGTATCCTTTTTCAGGCAACATGGGAATTTCCCAATGTGAATGTTTATTCTTATCTTACCATCAGTAGCCTGCAGACTGTAAGTCAGTCCCAGTGCCAGGTAGCCTTTTGCTTTGAACTCTGATGTTTTCTCCCCAAGATCAACAACTGTTGTGGCAAATCTTTCAGCTTCTTCCAACTGAAAAATATTATAAAACATCCATGTAAATCTAAAAACGGTTAAATTTTACATTATAATGAGAACAACACACGGCATGTGCATGCTGAATCTGTTGAAATCTCAGCCATGAATGCTTTTAAGGACTATTTTTTGTTTCATTAGGCTTAGTTTTCTTGCTAAATACTGAGTAAAGAACATAGTTTCTAAGCTAGAACTTTCATTCCTATGGTTGAGAGAAACTCTGGCACGTAACAAAGATCTTTCTAAACTACTGTGGCTTTGCCTTTTTTCCTTTAAAAAAAAAAAACAAAAAAACACAGGCTTTTCTGGTCCATATATGCCATCTACCACTTTCGCATTTCATAAATAAGAATTCTTGTCCCATGATTAATTTCTTTAGGAAAATCAATTAAAAGAACTATGGCTCCAACTCCACAAAACGAAGTATGGCCATGCAGAATGCTGCATCACATACAGTACTGCTGAATGTATGCAAACTCACAAATAAACATGTAAAAGACCAAGGTCTAACTGACCACCCATGCCAGCACACTATTTAACAATCCAGAAAGAAAAAAATACTTGAATCCATTCTAGTAAAGGTAAAAGTACAGTAAGCTACTCCACAAGGAGTCAATCCATAGGGATCAATTTAGAGAACTAGGATCTATGTTAATTATTAAGACTGTATTTTTGTCAGCCTCAACAAGTTATGTTTCTGCTAGAGCACTATTTTCTCAATCTTTAATTATGGCCTTTCCCTCCTCTTTTTCTATTTTTAAAATATATTCATTTTTCTAAAAATTACATGTGTATCTTGAAAAACACATGATGATCTTCAATCACCTTAATGTTTTTGTACAGCTACACCAATTTCAGGGTATCTAAAATACAACTGAAGTAACACTTCTTTTAAAAATACATTCTCTCTACTAGGAATTCATAAAGCCCAAATGACTGCAGTCATGGTATCACCAAAACAATTCCTTGAATATAAGAGATTTGTTTCATTACTTAAAAAAAAAAAAAAAAAAAAATCTTCTTACACAGAGGAAATGGAAGTATAAATTGCATTTTTAATCTCTGTATGCCAACATTTCAAGATACGCTACCTTGATAAACATAACCATTGCTGTCAAATATTTTAAATTAACCATGCAGAAAGGGATGTGCACATGCACATACGTATCACGATTAGAAATTAGGAAGAAGTTCATCACTCTGAGGGTGGTGACACCCTGGAACAGGTTGCCCAGTGAAGCTGCAGATGCTCAATCACTGGACGTGTTCAAGGCCAGGTTGGATGGGTCTTTAAGCGACCCGGTCTACTGGAAGGTGTCCCTGTCTATGGGAGGGGATTGGAACTAGGTGATCTTTAAGATCCCTTCCAATCCAAACCATTCTATGATTCTGTGATCTGTGCTGTATTTTAAGAGATGACCAAGTGCATGTAGTCACTATGCTAAAGTATTTCCTAGATCCCTAAACCAAGATTTTGCTGCATTTTAGCACAGCTCTTCCTGAAAAGACCAAGAGTGGCAAAGCTTACCCAGTGGAGAGATCCCATACAGAGCTTGGCAGCAAGGAGTGGAATAGTTGCATCATCTGGTTTCAAACGTATACATTCCTTCAAGACTTTAACAGCTCGAGCAGACTGTTAAAAAATTTTTCCATTAAAATTACTGAAAGCATAAATATGTTTCACAGGCAGAACATTCCTATTTCCATCATTTATTTTTCCTATGTGAAGAAGACGTTACTAAACATTTTGTTGAAAAAGTCACAACTCCTTGTGCAAGTGAAACAATACTTTAGGCACTGCTGTTATTTAACCTCTAGCATCTCCAGTGAAACATTCGCCCAGAATGTAATTCCAATGGTACGCCATTGCATCTGATAACATAAGTTCCTAGGTTATATAATTTTTTTTTTTTTTCCAAATTCATCTCACTTAATTGCAGGGAATATACAGTCTCAAAGACAGTAACATCAAAAAAGACATAGAAATTCCTCAAGAAGAAAAAAAAACCAAGAGCAACATGAAACAGCATCAATTTGTACATAAGCATAAAATTTGTTCATCAAAACAGCACTTCAACAAGTTGTTGCTGGATATTATGATCCCGTATAACTCATTACTTACACCCAATTAGCTTAGCTTAAGCTTATTGGCAAGATAGTTCTTGTCATCACCTGTCAATCTTCTTAAGTTAGAAACTATTAAAATAACATTCTTTGTACAGTACCAGGCATAAATTTAGGAGTACAGTGTACTCAGCTGATTTAAGAAGCAGAATTATTTTCAAAAACACTACAGATGAAAATTACAGAAGTGCCAAATGTTATCAAAAGCCACCAATAGAAGAATTACACAAAAAAAATACTTACTTTTCCTGCTGCCATCAAGGACAATGCAAACTGATACCAGAGGTGGAACTCTTCAAATGCAAACTTCATGGCTCTTTCTAAACACTATTTTTGGGGGGAAAATTATTAAGGACACATTCTTCAATTATTAGGAAGGTATACTAATATTATTTTTTTTTTTTTCTTATAGACTCATACCTAAAATACACATAGTTACAAATTTAAATCATTCAAATAAGTTAAGTGAAAACAGTTGCCAGATTCTACATGGAAAAAAAGAATTGAACAGAAAACTGATTTCTCATTTATAATGTTTGTTTAAATACTCCTGCTGGTAATGCCCTATTTAGTCTGGAAGAAGGAATTATAAATATCAGCTTACTGAAGCTACCAGCTGCAAAAGGCAAGAGATAAGTCTTAAGTAAAAAGGAAAGCTGTATATACAGTCTTCCTAAGTCGTGAATATTTAATACGTAATGGCACGAGTACTTATCAGTACCAGTTCAAGGGTGAGGGGGTGGTCTGGCGGTGGTGGGGTGGAGTAAAGCTTCACCCAACTATTGTTTCTATTTTCAAGACTTTTAACTTCACATTCAATATTCTGCTGAGATTTTCAACTTAATAACTGAATGCCAAAGGGAAATGACTTATTATTATACCGACATTAAATATATTGCTTTAGAGTTATACGCTAATTTTGAAGGCTTCACATCTGCTGTTATAAATAAGAATAATTTCATTTTGCTGTGCTCATTTTCACTAATCAGGCCAGCTCCAGAGAGTCAAAAGGTGCAACATTTCTCTGGATTAAACTAATTTAGCAATTAACTTTCTAGCCTGTCCAATTATAAAGAAGCAGCTTTTCTGGTCTGATAGCTACTATGTATATGCTAAACCGTAATACCATGAATTATTTTTCACATTCAAACTCAGATTTAACATTACAGAAAGCACAGTCAGGTGCACAGTGTGTTCCCACACTTCAACATAACCTGAAGCAAAGAACAGCACTGAGTGTGAAACAAAACAAATGTGAGAAGTTATTTGCTACAGATAAGTAATATATGCTAAAATACTTCCCATTATACAATATTCCAGAATCAAGACTATTACTAAACAGAATTTTCATGAAATTATTATAAAGGAATGACACCTCTAAAAAGAAACTCTAATACCACTGTTCAAAGTTCACAATCACATTGCATACAAGTTAATTAAATATCTATCAAGAAAAACAACACAGGATTTGTTTTCCCACTGGACTTCCTTTCCATCAGTGGAAGCAAAAAGATCACAGCAAAAAGCAAGCAAGCTATATGTGATACCTTCTATTACTTTTGATACTTTGCAAAGATGCCTGGGTAAAGTACACACCTCCACCTCACCCCATGAACTTGGCAGAAAACCGAAGTTCTAAATCCCACTCTCTCCCTACTGATTAGTAAAACCATGGTGCTAAACTAAGCACCTCTACATGAAGGAGAACTAATTCAAGCTTACCTTTTCAAATACAACTAACTTTACCTGTTTCGATACCACTATTTTACAGATGATTTAAGTAATTTCAGCACTTCTTCCAGAACTCTGACCTACAGCAGCCATATAATCCCAAAGATTCACACAAACAAATGTTGCATGGAAGCTTAATACTTAAAACACATCTGTAACTTTTTCTAAGTTTCAATGTACCAATGATCTATTTACCAATCTTCATCCTTGATTTGAAGTTCTATTTACTTGGCTTCATTGAGTATGAAATGTGAAAAGTTGCATGATTTTTTTCTTCTTAACGTCACAAAACTGGTGGTTAGCATGCATAGGGTAAGAGATATATGCGCATGTATGTGTATGTGACTACACAAAAACATGAACACCTCATAAACTGGGTTCCTCTGAACCAAGTAAGAGTAAGTAATTGCAAAGAGCAACAAGTTCCATCAAGAAATGAATGAAAAATGCATAATGAGTAACAAGACCCTGGAAAACTTCAGGTTTATGGCAACTGATTATTTAACTGAAAACACATTCAGCACAGTCCCTCTCCTCAATGACAGAAATGAAATGCTGATACTGCCTTGGAAGTAATCAAAAATGACTGTACGGGCAGGTAATGTGGTACATATTACTGAATTTTGTTGCTTAGCATTATGATCTCTCCCTGAAAAGAATACACCTGAAGGTTGAGAGTTGAAAGATGAGTATTTAGGAAAACTACTGGTCTGGGAAACACCTCTCCTAATAGGACATTGATAAGCTCTATATGTCATATCCTACAAAGCTTAAAAACCAACTTGATGACAGAGTGAGCGTACTTTTGTGTAAGAAGGAGTTATGACAGCAGAAAATTCTTTGATCTAGCTAAGTCATAAGAAACTGAAAACCCATTGTATGCAAACTCCATAAAGAAATGAGACCTTTTCAATTAAGAACATGACTCAGCATTAGAACAGTTTAACAAGCTGAGACAGATTTTTGACGTTTAATATTTTTACATTGCAAATAACTACTTCTGTAAGTAGTCAGCTATAGCTAAAGCAGAAGATGATGACAAGATATTTGAACTGGTGGGTGAATACCATTTCCAGTTAGAATAATGGTCTTTCTGATGTGAAACTACAACAGCTCCACTCATGACCACAATTAGCTCTCAGAGAATGAAGCCAGCAAAAAATCATATGCCTATTACATAACTGAACAGAATATTCCTACATTTCTGAACTTGTGTTATTGTAATACTTAAAAATATAAAACTTTCAGACTGTGGGCTGCAGGATTTGAGAGCAAATATCCTGTAAGCACTCAACAGAACTCTAAGAGCTTCTTAAAGTCTGTTTTCTACTGTGCTTTGTATGACAAGAACTAGAAAAAGTAAGACGTCATAACCATTTCCTATTAAGCTCCTGCTGCAGCTGTACATTAAGAGTATCTGTATGCTAAAGTATTGTATTATTATACCAGGTCTTCAAAAGATGATTTTTTTCCATGTTCAAAATAGATACTTCATGGACATAAGTACTTCTAAATGATTCTATATAAAAAAGTATTTTTCAAGTAGATAAGAATTATTTTATAGTTTTTAAAAATAACATTTCAAAATTATATTATTTTGATAAAATACAACTACAAAGATGCTAGACCCAGATTTTAAAAGAACAAGAAAAGATCTAAAACAAGCCCTAGGTAGACTTCAGGGGTCAAAGCCCAAGGCAGTGGCTAAAACCCTCAACTAAGCAGTTGGCCAAACACAGAGGCTCTTCAACTTTCCAGATATTTGGAAATTCTGCTCTCATCTGTAACCAAGATCACCACTAGTAAAAGTAACTTTCATAAGGCACTGAAACAAAAGACTGAAGTCAAGTTAAAACATCTTCCATTAGCTAGAACATTCAGCTGTGCTCAAAACACAGAATGAAAAGGAACAGGCAGTGGTATTCATCTGTCAGTTACAGGGGCTAAACCAGAAACACAAGCAGTGAGGGAAGCAAGCTCTGTGCTCTTCTTCATGTGAGAGGAATGTAAGACTTTCCTTCTACCTTTTAGGGCAATGTCCTAGATTTCAGGATACATGGCTAAGAAAAGATACGTGTAGCTCTCCTGGTGAAGCCAAAAAACTCATTAAGAAAGGCAAGAAGAACTGCAAACAAGTTGTGTCTACTGTAACATAAATACTACCCAAAGCATCCCAAATGAGGCACTGGAGGAATCCCAGAAACCTGTGATGTTCCCATTAACACACTCATCGTTTAACGTTTTAAAAAAGGCAAAAAATCCACAACAACAACAATTCCACCATGACACCATAGATGAAATCAAAGAATCGGAATTGGAACCCAGGGCCACCCAACCTCTGCCTAGTTGCAAGGCTAATATGGAAAAAGGAAAGGTTGCCAGCTGCTTAAAGAAAAAAGCAAATTTGTTTTTTTCTTTTACAATACTTCTTGATGTCTACCCTTTAAATGGTTCTACACTAAAACATGTTTCTTGCAGCCTTTGTGCAACCTCCTAGAACTCCAATGATGCTGATACTGTCTGTAGTGCCAAATAAATGGAAATATTCATGATTAGATTATGCTGTGGAGTTACAGTCCTGTACAAGCTTTCATACTTCTTAGTTTTGTGAAAGACTTTCTACTGTAATAATTAAAACTGACTTGTATGCACAACTTGCAGCTATGAAGTCCTTTCAAGAAGAGTTCAAATTCAGAGCTTAACATCACAGAATATGCAGATTATAGGGTGACCATCAACATATACCAGAGGCTATATCAGAAAACTGGGGCTTTTTAAAAATTATTTTTATGTTACTAAAAGTCCTCTGTGATGGTAGAGAGAAACCATCTCTCAGCAAATGAAACCCTGGATATGCCTTCTCACCACACATGCTGGAGTTTCCCTTCTGGATACCAAGAATTAATCATGGTCAGCAACAGTATCCTGCTACCGAGTGAACACTGTTTTGAGCAGCAGAAAGATCTGCTCTGCCCAAAGTGCAGGTATAAAACTCGTTTCTCAGCTATAAAACTTGTTAACAATACTTGAAAATTTCCTGAAGAAGTAAGATGCTACAATCTAACAAAAGCCATGCAAAGTCACATGATCAAACAAGACATTTGAGATCAAGAATGCACTTTCCTACAGACCTAAACAAGTAATATCTTTCCATTTTATTAACTTCAAAGCCATTTTATAAACTATGAGGACTCTGGAGCACTCCAAATATTATGAGGTGTAAAAGTTTTCTTTTGAAATAAAACATCAGAAATCCTTTTTCTAGGTATTTAAATATCTATTACTTGTAACCACAGCAGCTTTTATCTCTTGCCATCCCCTCCTGTTGTCTATTTAATGTGTACCCTTTTAAGCAGATCTATGCTTTGCCACCTAAAAATCATGTGACTTTCTGTTAAACATTTACCACACCTTTCACACAATTTCTGTGCTTGATGACCTCAGGTAACTCGTATGAATTTAGATGATAAACTTTTTGGGGTGGAAACTATTTACTGTATTTATACAGTAGTCAGAAAGATAGCGTCCATTTTTTTAGCCCTTAAGTACTACCAAAATTAACATGATAAACAGAAATAAGCAATGAAGACAGGTGAATATTCACTATTATCGACAAACCTCTGAGAGCATTTCATATTGGCCTCTTCTTCCCAAGGCTATAGTAAGTAAATCATAGACCACAGATGCACTTTGCAAACTGATGATACGATCATTTTTGTGTTCTGGTATTCTGCTCAGTACAGCATCACGGTTGGCCTGAAAGACACCACAAAAACCACCAAAGTCAGTCATTGTAATCTAGCCTATAATTCTTCTCAAGTAACTACCAGTCTGTTCAGACTGACAGTCGGCAGTTGATAAAAGCCATACAGAGAGACAGTATCTGCTACTAATTTATAGATAGCAAGACTCACCAATTTTATACATTAGTGGCAAGCTTTATGCTTCAATATGGATCTATTTTTAATTACTTGAGTCTAATTACATAAATTAGGTAATGATTTTAAATGATTGAAGAGTTCTAAGAAACAAAATAAGTTTTTTTTTTTAATAAAATGCATATTAATATCTTAAAAATTAATTTTATTGTTTGCATGCTAGTAAAAGAATATATTAAGAGGATCCTCAAATCCTCTAACCCAGCTTTTGTAAAATACGACACTCAATTTCTTTTCTCTTCATAACCATGACACTATTCTCTCACACTCTCTGTGAGTGGTAACCTGCCCAGGATAAACACACAATCACCTTCGGGAGTTATTAGTGAGAAGCCAAAACCATCCCTGGTTCTGAGCACAGGTTTGGAATCAGGCCATGTTTGTAGTCAGACTTAATTTGTGAAAGGCAGACTGAAAATATAATTCCTTCATTAAACTTTTCCTTCCAAGAAAGAAAAAAAAAAAAAAAAAAAAATGATGTAGAACTGGATTAAATGAATTGACCAGAAAGGAACCGTGTTAAAGAGCAAAAGATAAAATTGAAGACTCCCAGTAGCTAAGACTGCCAATACTGGACGACCCAGTACTTCTCCCACTATACCATCAAGCCTATGAAAATACCTTATCTTGATATCTTATCTACTTCAGGATTTCTTGATGTTTAATATTCCCATTGGTACAAATGCTAGTGTATCTGGTAGTTTGAAGTCAGAAGTTAAAGAACCTTCTCTCTCATGTTCTGCTTTTTTTTTCCTCCTTTTAATTACACACAGCATGGCCCCCTGAACACATTTACATAAATACACTAAATTTTAATGGGCAGCTTATTTTCCCCTTTTTCAGAGGCAAGGGAATGATATACATAAAGCAAAGAAACAATTTATCCCTTTATCAGGATAACATTTTAAACTCTGAACATAATCAATACATCTTTAAAATCAGAATAATTAAATACTGAAAGAAATTTTCAGAGATACATGGAACGTAGAACACACAGACATTTCAGGAATTATCAACTGAATAATCCACAGCTCGGTTTGGAAACACACACCCCCACACACACACACAAAAAAGACATTTAGCTTTCTTTTGATCAAGAAGTCCTGGGCTTTTCCTTTCTACACTGCATAAATATTTAGTCAGCCTCAAGAATTTCTTCCTTTTTAACTCCACATTTAATCAGTATTTGACTCAATTCCTTGCGAGTACAGAACAAGCTATGAATGAGGAAGTCATGCAAAAAATGCCAAGGGACCTGCCTGGGTGAACAAAATGCTCCTGGATAAACTCAAACACAAAAGGAAAGTCTACAGAGTGTGGAATCAAGGGCAGGTGGTCTCGGAGGAGTACAGAGAAACTGTCCAAGCAGCCAGGGACCAGGTTAGCAAAGCTAAAGTCCTGATAGAATTAAATCTGGCCAGGGACATCAAAGGTAATGAGAAAAGCTTCTGTAGGCACATCGGTGATAAAAGGAAGGCTAGGGAAAAAATGCAAGCCCTCTCTGGAAGGAAATGGGAGACCTGGTTCCCCATCACATGGAGAAGGCTGAGGTACTCAGTGAACTTTTTGCCTCAGTCTTCATTGGCAAGTGCTCCAGCCACACCACTCAAGTTGCAGAAGGCAAAGGAAGGGACTGGGAAAAGGAAAAGCTGCCCACTGTAGAAGAAGATCAGGTTTGAGATTGTGTAAGGAACCTTAAGGTGCACAAGTCCGTGGGACCTGATAAGATGCATCTGTGAATTCTGAGTGAATTGGCAGATAAGGTGGCAAAGCCATTATTCATCAGATTTGAGAAGTCATGGCTGTCCAGTGAAGTTCTCACTGACTGGAAAAGGGGAAACATAACTCCCATTTTTAAAAGGGAAAAAAGGAACACCTGGGGAACTACATGCCAGTCAATCTCACCTCTTTGACTGGCAAAATCATGGAGCAGTTCCTCCTCAAAGCTATGCTCAGGCACATGGAAAATAAGGAGGTGATTGCTGACAGCCAGCTAGGTTTCACCAAGGGCACACTGTGCCTGACAAATTTGGTGGCCTTCAGTGACAGGGTTATATTGGTGGATAAGGGAAAAGCAACTGATATTATCTGCCTGGACCTGTGCTAAGCATTTGGCACTGTCCCACACAACATCCTTGTTGCAAAATTGGAGAAACATGGATTTGACAAATGGACCACTCAGCGGGTAAGGAATTGGTTGCATGGCCACACTCAAAGAATTGCATTCAATGACCTAATATCAAAGTGGAGACTAGTGACGAGTGGTTTTCTTCAAAGGATCAGTGCTGGCACCAGTGGTGTTCCACATCTGTGTTGGTGACATGGACAGTGGGATCAAGTGCACTCTCAGCAAGTTTGTGGATGACACCAAGCTGTGTGGTACAGCTGGCACACTGGAGGGAAGGGAGGCCATCCAGAGGGACCCTGACAGTCTTGAGGGGCAGGTCTATGCCAAGCTCATGAAGTTCAATGAGGCTAAGCACAAGGTCCTGCACCTGGGTCAGGGGAAACCCAATCACAAATACAGGCTAGGCAATGAGTGGATTGAGCACATCCTTGCAGATGAGGACTTGGGTGTGTTGGTTGATGAGAAGCTCAACATGACACAGTGATGTGCGTTTGTAGCCCAGAAAGCCAACTGGATCCTGGACTGCATCAAAAGAAGTGCGGCCAGCAGGTTAAGGGAGGTGATTCTACCCCTTTACTCCTCTCTCATGAGACACCACCTGGAGTACTGTGCCCAGCTCTGGAACCCCAAATATAAGTGTCGCAAACCGGTGCCAAAGGTCACCTCAAGAATTTAAAAGACTAACTCTAACGTGCAGTGAGACAAGACTATGGGATGCCCCAGATTCTAGAGGTTCCACCTCTCCAGTTAGAAAAACAGGAAAAAATTCCAGCTTCAGCTTTACATTTCTGCTATCTTAGAACATACCACTGATCTTGTATAAGAATGTCAGCACACGACAGCTGGCAGCTGACTAGTAAAATCGTACTAGAGAAAAATATGAAAGGCTAATAAAAGGCACAAGTAGGCCACTGAGAGGAATCATCTACTGAGGAAATGAGAACGTAATAAAAAAGAATCCAGCCACAAAGCTGAATGCCAGTATCATTAAAAATCATTTACAAACTTGAGTGACATCTGAGGTTTAATGCACAATGAAACTTTTTTCATTTCACAATGAAACACTTTTTTCCCCACTATGTTTATTATTCTCATAAGTGATTTATTTGGTTTTCACAAGAAAAATAACTTACATTTTCAGTCTGTCTGAATGGCAACCAGCTGGCATAAGCAGTGGTTCATACCGGTAAATGATGGCAAATGAAAGACCTGACTTTGTTTTCACCTGCCTATAGTTAGGAGGCGGCTAGGTTCAGCCACTCTAAAGAAGAATGCCTATTCAGAGTGCAGACCTCATCTTACTGGCTCAGAGGAACAGAAGCTTGAGTTTCAGGAGCAACTCCCTGCTTGCCTAACAGAAAATGAAACAAGCCATAATGGAAGGCATGATAAAAAAGTTGTTTTCATTAAAAAAAAGAACCCAAAAAGGAAAACACTCACACATACAGCACATGCACATTTGCTCTATTTTACCTACCATAGATTCACTAATAAGCAGCAAAAGTAAGGCTTCTTCTGTATTTTCTTGAGGACAAAAGATGCTGTTCAAAACAAGAATTTCATTATTTAAGCAGAACACATTGCTTTTAAGAGCAGCTTACACAAATATAGTACGAGTACTGTAAAAATGGAAAATTTTCACAAAAGAGAACAGAAAGTAACTTGCACAGAAAAAGCTATTGGTTAAAATGCATTTCTTTGCAATGCTCTAAATTTGCATTTCACAAAAGTTGGTCAAACACAATAAGAGAACAAAATCATCACAGCTGTCAGAGTTGAACACATTCAAATATCCCAAAATTGCACATAATTTGACAACTGCAAAAACTGTACCCATAGTTTAACCAGCCTCTGGCACGCAATCTATCTGAGCTGAATCTACACCATTGATTCAAAGGTCAGAAACAAGAAACTCTCTCAAAAAGAACAAGGTAACTTTTGTAGTTTGGGTAATATGTGGATAATTACATCTCTTAGTCTTTCATCAGATATGCTTGAGAATTGTTTTTTTTATGCATGCAATAGCTGTGAATATTTTTTAATAGAGCCACGGCAACCTCTGCCTGCTTGCCATAACCACTGTTACTTCCAAGCAGTTAAAATATTTGGTGAAATGTACTTTATGACTTAATGCTGAAGGTTTGAATAGCATTAGTTTGCAAAGTTTATTGCTTTCTCTGAAAACTGCATACTTTCTGAATGTTCTTCTACACTGGTAGACAGACAACAGTAACTGCACTGGGTACATGACTGTTAGGAACTATTTTATTAATAATTATTCAATTATTCTCTCTGACACAAAAAAAACCCAACCCAGTGACTGTGTTTTAACTCTTCAGATTTCTTTCTCCAAACAGTTTCTGAATTAGCAAAAGTACTATCTCCTGTTAATTCAGACCAATATTTCCACAATTAACTATTTAAATGTGGAAAATAATTTCTTGTTAAAAAGCAATTCCTACAGTCCAAGGTTGCTTGAAGTACAATAAAGTACAGATGTGAAAAACAAATAGCCTGAAATTAAAACATCTTGGAGTACATCTTAAATGTACTAGAAATTTAAGCAGTAATTAAATGCCTGAAAGGAAATGGAAATAAAAATCTGAACACCAGGTGGTCTGCAGGCAATATTGTGAACCTACTGCAGTAATATACAGCAACCAAGACCCCAGGGCAGTTGTTTTGTTGTTGGATTTTAATGTTTTAATCAATGCTAGTTGCTCATTAAATTCTAAGAGTATTCTAACTCTTAGAAGACATTTTAACTTTTACGTAAGAAATTTCAAAACACAGTTACGAATAAGAACTGCCCAGCACAGAGAATTAGGAGTAAAAAGGAAGCATCAGATTGCTTCTCATTAACCTGGCGAGTCTTCAATGCAGAATTTAGCAATCTGGGAGTAGATGTGACCTGACTGACTGGCAATGGTTCCTAGAAAGCAGAGTAATGACTAGAAATAGTTGCTGGAGAAATTACTTTCTCAAAGAAAAAAGGGAAGTCACCCCATAGAGAACTAACTACTGAGTCATTTATCAAAATGAAAGCAAATGCAATTTTCTCCCACATCTTTGACTATATTTTGGTAAATAAATTGATGTTTCTCTGTGAAGATCCTCTTAATGCTGACATTACTGGGAAATTTATTTGTATGCAAAAAGCTCAATTTAGTTAAACAAACACAGACATCTTCCGTTTCCTGACAGATGCAGGCATATTAGTAAAGTAATTCCAAGGTAACAGGGAAGCTGCAAGAGAGGCAGCTGGAAGCAAGAAACGGCTACCAAAGTCAAACCAAGAAGTTTAGCAGTTCAACTGAGGATAAAGAAAACTGAAGAGGCATTTAACGTCGAGATCTACGAAATCAAAAATGGTATTAACCAAATCACATTCGCCATCCTCAGAAGAGCACAACGCGTTAGTTAATATACAGGCAACATAATTATTAAAAAAACCCAGTACATCTAGGATCCCAACAGAGTTGGTGGTCAGATGACTACCTCGGAAAAAGTTTCCTACGTATCTGTCTTGCTGTTAACTGTCTTAGGCGCTTATTTTCAATCACTGCTTGACTAGACACTTGGGTAGGCAAGTTTTATCTGATCTGCCATTAATCTCTGATGTGACAAAAGAAAGGGACTTAACTACATGCTCTGTTAAAACTGTGGAACTCATCACTTGCACATTCCAAGAAAAAGAAAATCACACTAAACAAAGCCTTGCTTTTGCCAGGAGGCATGTTTCTACAAGAGGAAAAGTTAAGAATGAAGAACATAGACTTGAAAGACTGAATCTGAGAAACCTGCTCTAAGTATTCCGGATCAATGAAGGAGAATTGCTAGAAATCTATGAAGATAAAGGCCATTCTACTTGCTAGTAATAATAACATCATAATTATGTGGGCTTGCTGCTGTATCAATTATTCATTAAAGGAAGTCTGCAATAAATGCAACTAAACAATTCAAATGCCTGCACTAAGACAGCATTTTACATTAGAATATGAAGATAATGTGAACACTAAAACAAAACATCTCAGAATTTAAGGTAGGACTACCTCTGTAAGCGATCTAACATAGATGAAGACTCTTTTGCACACAACAATGTAGCGTGGAAAAAAGCTTTCATAATAACTGATAAGTCACATATACTATATGAGAGCAACAGGCTTTTCTTTATGATTTGATGTGCCAAACCAAGTAGTTTGAATGAGAAAATGTGTGGCTCTGCACAAAAGAGATTTCCTCGTGTTTGGGCAGTCAACACATACTTTTTAAGTGCAGTGATCAAGCGATATTCACAAACCAGGTATTTACCAGAAAGGTTGCCTGCATGTACAGCTTGTTAATTATGTACTTGCAGAGAAACACGGTAGTTGTTCTGGCAAATTGAACGCTCAATTTGTTCAATGTGCCCTAAGCCTACACCTTTTCCTAAAACTCAAGACTGTCTTTTAATGACTCCACATTCTAAACAGTCAGACAAGATTGAAATGAAAAAAAAACTTGACATGCCTAGGTTAATCCAGCTGAACAACAATATAAAAAAAACACGTTTGGAGAAAAAAGGTCAAAAATTTCATATGGAACAGAAAACATTCTCCTTCAACAGAGATTCCCAGATCACACCAATTTCAGAGTATCATAATAGCTGAGGTTAGAGAAGGTGTCTGGGGATCATTAGTACAGGCCCTCTACTCAAAGCAGGGTCACCTGGCATGTGTCCCTGGAACATGTCCAGTTGGATTCTGAATATCTTCTCAGTGATATCCTCCAGACTCCACAACCTCTTCTGTAAAATTTTATTCTTACATTTAAATGGAATTTCAGCCTTCTCCATCTGCATTACTTAGCACTGTCCTACTATGGTAAATCACAATCTTGGTTACATCACTATCTCCACTGCTACAATTTATTACTCAGTTCTCTGGCTCTCAGTGCATTCCAGCAGGTATCAAAACCAGCAAGCAACACAGTTTCATCAGATCAAACTTAGTAACAATGACACAAAAAATAAATTAAAAAAGACAATGCCAAATGGTCAAGATTTCACTGGTATGCTTTGACACAAGCACATTATTTTCAGGCAGTAAGGTACATCTAAGGACTATAATAAAGCGTAAACTTTTGTCAGTAGACATTTGGCACTGTCAGATTGTATCTAAGGAAAACAACTTTACCTCAGGAACCATATTTAATTTGATTGGATACAAAAAAAACCCACCAAGCTATTAAATTTTAAAAAGTTGAAATTCAAGGCTACACCTATCCACGTTTAATACATATACTAATGGTGATCAGTTTTGAAAAAAAAACAAAAAAAACAAAAACCACACGTATTTTCAAAAAAGGAAGAGATAAACACCAAATCTACTTAAGAATTAGCCATAGGATATGCTACACAAAAATGATCCATAGCATACCACTTACCTGAAACAGTGGAAGAGTAAAACTCAACAAGAAGATGGCATCAGAGAGAAATGCCAAAACTAACCTAAGATGATTAAAAGGTAGCTGCTTTGGGAAATAAACTAGCTTGGAAACTGCTAGATATGTTTTTGTTTTTTATAATGTTTCAGAAATGAATTTGAATCTCCAGAATGCTAATTCTTTCCTTTGTATGATAAGGGACAACAGAGGTCTAGAAAAAGCACAAGACTCTTAAATGTGCTATCTCAGATTTGCCACCCAGTTTGTTTTCTTTTGTATCCCAGGCATAACATGAGATATTGACTCTGCCATACACCCTAGTATAGAACAAAAATAAATAAAATATCTGAGAACTGAAAACAGAAGGCCTCATGCATACAGTGCGAGCTTCTGCTTGGAGAAGCATGTTGCTCCCTGATTTCTCTTCAGGGAATACCTATGTACACACCACATTGGAAACATTCCCATTCACATTGCCCAATTCCCTCTACATTTTTCAAATATATAAACTAAAGTACCTAGTTCACTGTGTAACAATTGCCATTATAGAAACAATAGAGGTATAAACTCAGCCATACTTTTCTCCAGTGTATACCCGTGGTCTTCTACTGAGTGCATAATTCTTAGTATTTGAACCTTTTCGAAGTGGATCATCTAAGGGTGACTGGTGAGGAGGATCTTCCAGTGGATTCCAATAACTCTGTTCACACATGCCCCGTAACAAAATTTCAGCCAGTTGTCTTGCTATTGTCTGTAAAGGTGAAAGATAAATAGTTTCCTTAGAAATGCTGAATACAAACCCTTGTATTCAGATTATAGATTCAGACAGGATTCAGAATCCAAAAACACTTGGATTATTTCTAATGACAACTAGTCACCTAGACTACATTTTCTGTTATTTTAAAACATAAAAAAAAAAAAAAGGCACACTGATGTTGGAAAGGAACAAACACCCAGTTCAACTTAAACACAAGGAAACAACTTTTCAATTTTATCAGTTCAACCTGGATACTTCTGAAGCATCACCACCAACAACTGTTGCCTCTAAGAGTGGAGCACATCGAAGTCTGTTCTCAGATATTTTATGCCAAATAACCTCTACTACCTCTCCAGGCCCAAAGCAGATGTTTCCATGGGATAGACCACAGTGGAGCAGGTATTTCCCTGCAGTCCACGGACATGAAGTACCACAGTGGAGCAGGTATCCACACTGCAGCCTCCTGAGAGGAGGCTCCATGTGGTGGAGCAGGTTGATATTCCCTGAAGGAACTGAAAGCCATGGGAGGGACTCCACTCTGGAGCAGACGAAAAATGTGAGGAGTGAGAAACAGCAGAGCAGAACTGATCTGGACTCCCCACAACCCTGAATGTCCCATGCACTACTGAGGGATTGACAGGGTGGAGAGAGGAGGTAGAAGAGTCAGGAGTGAAGGAGTTGAACGTGGGAAAAGGGGGTGAGGGCAAGGTGGCTTAGGTTTTGTCTTTGTTTTTCACCATCCAACTCTTTTAATTGATGATAAAAAGAAATCATTTTCCCCCAGTCAAGTCCGTTTTGCCCATGGCAATAACTGGTAAGTGAACTCTGTTCTTAACTTGACACACAGTTTTTCTACCTTCTTTTTCCCTTGTTGTGTTAAGGAAGGAGAATGAAAGAGCAGCTGGGTAGGAAATTGGCAGCCACTCAAGATCAACCCACCACAGACAGTTATAATCCAAACCCCAAATGGCTGGGGCTTCTGACAATTTTTACTTGAAGGTGCTGGTGCTTGCTGCTGTTGATAAGGTTCAGCAAGAGTGAAACAAGGTTGTAGATCAGCATGAAAGTTTATTTTGATCAACTATTCTTGGCACCATATATTTAAGTGTAGAAATACTTACTTAAATATTATTTAAGTAAATAATATTAATTTAAAGCTTTGAGGTCATCCTGTAATCCGTAACTATCAGGTTAATCTCCTCTTTAATACGTGTGCATACAAGCTGCATGACTATATATCAGGATTATGAAAACTCCAAGATTAGCACCAGGGCAATAGAAAAAGACATTTGTATCAGAATTGGGAGTGTTTCCCAGCAACAGATGTGTAACATTTAAGCCACAGACAACACCATATGATCTGTATCTTCCACCTTAATTCCTATACCACATGAAGTCTTTCATCTAAATTTTTCAATTTTATGCTATAACATATATAAAAGTCTATTTAATATTTTTAAAATCCTTACTATCAATCAGTTATTAAATTAATAAAGAGAACTATTACCTTCCTTATTACCACTTTGGAAGTTTTAAAGGCCTAGTATTACGAAACTCATCTAGGACATTTTAAAATCATTACATTAGAGCAAAAGACATAAGCCTTGGCCTTTTATATATAAGAGATACAAAAAAGATACTTCACTCTTTTGGTAAAGGCTTCTTTTTTGACAATATAAATAACAAATCTTCATGATTTTGCCTTTGTTGTTTTACTTCAAGAGACTTTATCACAAATATAAAGAAATAACTTGACAAGTTCCAACTTAATAAAACATGCCTTCAAGGCACTGCACTCTGTCCTCACTCCCCTTATGCCACAGATAGGAAAGTGAAATAGGGAAGAGACTGGGTATCAAACGTTCTTTTTCATTTTAATCATTCACTTAAGCCAAGAAATGTAACCTTAGAAAGTGGTGAATAACAAGATCCTGATCAATATGCTGTGTATCTGACTATTTGTCTCTAATTCATCCATTATTTTTATGCTATATAAAATTTCAGATGCTGCAATAGGAATGTGGTTTAATATAACTTACCATTCGCAGATTCTGTGTAGTTCTTGTTTCAACAGCTCTTAGTAACTCTCTAAATCTACCAACACCTCTCGTCAAGTTCCTGTATATAAACATAGAATTTGACAGTATTCCAATCTGGATGCAGTAGCACATGAATATATTACTCAAAAATATTGTAAAATTCATGCTGTTGGTTTTTTTCCCCTGCATATCATCACTGCCTGTGTTTTTGTTTTGTTTTGTTTTTCATCTGGGAACCTTACCACTGATTACTCTAACAATATTCTCTACCAATTTTTTGAAAAAAAAACATTTTCATGATCAGTGGACAGCTTAAGAGTAAGCAAGGAAAAGTGTATGAAGTAACCACCACAAAAAAAAACGAAAAAAACAAAACTGAAATTCATCTCGTTGCTATAATGATTTTAATTTTCAATCACATCAGGCTTCCAAGTATAAACTTTGGAGAAAAGAAAAAAAGCATTCCATTTTAGCTGTCTCTTGACACCTTAACATAGGGAAATAAAAAAGGAGCAAATCTTGCAGTCCTCAGTGAAAGCAATGTAAAATTTTAAACTCCTTTTCAGAAGGGGAAGAGCACACACAGAGCAAGGTCCACGGTGTGCCCAGAAGAGGACTGAGGGGTCAGTGTTCTGCTCTCGACTCCAGCTGGGTTTTGGCATTGCTTCTGCAATCAAGTTTCTTTGTCTATGCTTCTTCTGCCTCTCCTGCCTAAACAGCTTTTGCAAAGAGATTCCTCAAAGAGGAGACATCATTCACACTAACAATTTTAGCAGATCTGAACTTTCTTCTCCAACAATAGATGATTTTGAATGGCATTACAGTTTTATCTTTTTCTCATCTTCATATCAGTTATCTCAGCTATCTCTCTTTTTATTGCACTTAAAAGTAGTTGATATTTTATATGAATACAGTTTATCTTTGAACTGGTGAAGGACTGGGTTGGCTTTTTGCTGAGCTGAGCAACTGAATTCTACATCTTCAACACATAACAGGAGAGTCAATTCACTATTTCTAAAAATTATTTAATCAAAAGAGTGTTTTGAGTTAAAGCAGTATTGGTCATATAGTTGTATTATCTCAAGACAGGTTTCTATGGGGAAGTTGTGCAACATCTAACAAAGCCTCAAATGAGAAAAGAAATATTACATATTGTTTGAGAATTTTATAAGTAAAAGCACTATTGCACTGCACTATAAAGCTGATGTTGAAATTGCCTTCCTTACTCTGATGTCTTTATTTACAAATATATTTAAAATACTGACCTTCTGAATTGCAACTTTGTACAAATTCAGAAAAGCCTTTTTCTACTATATACTAATACTTCTACATAAAAGCTCATCTCAAAAGATCTAGCATTTCCAAATAACCTGTAGGAACAGGTTAAAAGTTATGTCAAAGTAAGCCACAGCTTGGTTAAAAAGAAATAATCACCAGTCACACAGGAAATAATGTTTGTAAAAAGTCCATATTACAGCAGAGCTTGACCATGGAGTGCCCCGTTACTACACAGTAAATTAATCTTGTGTGTACATCTAACATGGAAACAATTGGATTAAAGATTGTATTTATTCATATATTTCACACAGGCAGGCCTCAATAACTAATGAGTATTACACCAACTTCCTATACCAATGAAGTACAAAAAGTCAGTAGGCCAAATATTAAGAAAACCTCTGAACTCAGTGGAAGCTGAATACCTTCAGCACCTTTGGAAAGCCAAAATACATACCATTCAGTAATACCATATGCCAAATATTTTAGAGAGCCAAAACCAGACCACTGGAATCCCAGTAATAAGTCCTCTGTTCAAAGTGCATATTTCGCATGAATGGAACTTTCTCTCAAGGACTGTATTGCAAAAATCACAGGTGTGTCCTCATAACAAGATTTAAAAAAACAAACAGACTTGCCAAAAAAACTGAAACGTTCCCTGCAAAATTGTCGAAAAAGAGCAAGAGCGAGAACTTGTCAGCTTGAAACACTCATTTCCCAACACCGCTGAAACATATACTATGCAGTAGAACTTCAAATCACAATTTAAATCTTTCCAAATTGCAGTAGTTAGCATTATGTCTACATGAAGTTTATGGATTTTGACGTGTCACAAGAACAACAACAACAAAAAAAACCACCAGTCTATGAAAAAGCACGTAACTTTTAAAAGTCTTTAAGAACTTCATGACAGGTTGTTATTAGTTACCCATTACATTTTTGTAAGCATCTGCAAGGGACAAACCTGTGACTGGAGTTCTACTGTACCACAGGAAAAGCAGCAAGATTGCATAGGGAAAAGTAAAAGCACACAAACTTAAAATACAGAATTTGTTTTTGCTTCATAAAGCATTTAACACTGGTCCGCTACAAAAGTGAATACAAACACAATACAGATTCATCAAGCATATTCTACATGAAGTATACAGAAAAAAAAAAAAACAGAAACAAACAAACAAAAAAAAAAACCAAAAAACACCACACTTCAAAACTACAATCTACATCACCCCAAAATTGAGTTAAATGCTTTGAGAGAGAAGTAATGAAGCAAAATATACCATGAACATTATGGTAGATCTCCACACTGCGCTGCTTTGAGCAAAGTACATTTCCTGCATTTGGTAACAGTTTGTAACATGGGGAAGAGGAGGGTGGCAGCTATTCTGGTACATACTTTTCTCACCTAGCTTAGGAAGCACACAACTTTTACCTGCTTTTCAGTAGTGTGCCTTCATATTAGCAGTTCCACCCCTGATGACTGAATGCCGGAATGGCCAGTTAACTTATAAAAAACAATGTGTCCTACAGTGTCTGTAAATGACTTTGAGATCCCTTCCGTTCTCGACACAAGGAATTTTAAGGTACATTCACACGCACTCAGAGCTGACACATTTTCTATCATTTCAGACAAGACAAAGCCCACATAGAAAGGCTGCTATTTACACACGTGTGTTTACGACTGCTTTCCCTCAGACCATGCTCGAATTAAACCCTTTCAATTGCATTTTCCTAGTTTTTAAATACTAATTAAAATGTTTGCTGCTTTAAATCTTGGAGAAAAAGAAAACAAGAACACTTTGACTCTTTAAGTAGCACTATACCAATTACAGTCTGAGAACCAGGACTTGAAGGTACCATCTACAACCAAAACCCTATACAGATAGATGCTCTTAGGGCTATTTGCAACATCGTGTCTACAGATTTGCACCCTGAACCTCAGCGATTTATATTAGTAACAACTTTATGCTCCTTTGAAAACTTCAGGCAACTTTTCTGTTGCAAATCTATGCAACAGAATCTATGCAAAAGTGCTCACTCCTAAACAGAGAGAGAGAGAGAGAGAGATCAATAACTAGATATGATACAAAGGAAGTGCAGGAAGAAGATTATGGGACACTAAGGACAAACTTTCCATGCAGGATCAGAAGACCCAGATATAAGCATGTAGGTCAGCAGTACCAAACTTACAGCACGAACATAGTTGTCACCATCACCACCAAGAAGTCTTGGTTTAAGTCTTTGGTTTTAAAAAGCATGTCTGGCATCAGACAATATGGTGCTTTGGCATTAGCAGTCTAGATAAATCTCATGCTCCAGACACATAGTTCCGATTTTTGTGTTTTTAAACACACACACAAAAAAAAAACAATAAAAGAAACTGCTCGATAAGAAGCAGTCTATATTAGAAAGATGTTAGGATAAAAAACGCAAATATTATTCCTTATAACAAAGGGAGTGACATCTCATCACAATACACTCAAAACAGGCTACAAAACAAATGCTTGAAATTTAACCTCAGAAATGTTGCTAGGATTCATTTACTTTGTATTTGCAGTGCATTTTGATACTATCTTCTCCATTAGTCTGAGAATGGATTTTTGTCAGTCATTGCCCCTATGCTAATCAATTAAAAAGCCAAAATATTTAGTCTAACATTGCCTTTTATAGATTAGATATGGAATTAGAATAAATTTCTGCTTAGTGAACTTAGACTAAACCTCACTTGCTCTTCCATTAAATTCCCAGTACTTCTCCCATTTAAGCGAGACAAGTATATCCAGAGCCATGCCAGTGAAAAGGTTGTTACACTAAATACTTAAGTATTACTTCTTTGCTGAGGCTTACTATATCTCATTTAAAGAATATTCAATGTTTAAAAAGGAGAGAAACCAAAAGCAATGAGATACAGATTGCTTGATCAATGCAGTGAAACAGAAATGGCTTTTGAAATTGAGCCCACTTCCCAAACACACATTCTCTCCCTCTCTTCCGCACCCCCAAAAAAAGAAATGCAATAGTTATAAACTCAATGATACATAGTAAATTTTAGAGTTTGGGGTTTTCTCCCAGGAATTCAAGCAGAAAAGAAAAGAAAGATACTTGTTCTGAAGAGCAGGAATTAAGAGCAAACTCTTGGCAATGCCAATCGGAACAGTGGCATTTCAGTAACTTTGGTGTGAATGACCAGTTTACAAAAAACCACAATGGTTTAAATCCATATACTCTTGACTAATAAGGTTCAGTCAGTTTTACATTGAAACAAGTTACTACATAACCAAAAGGCAAGAAATGTGACAAATCAAGAGATTAACTCTTCAACAGCAAGAGAATAATAGCCTAATACTGAAACGTGTCATTTCCACTAGTAGAGCAATTGCTTTATACAACCCTACAAAGATGGGTTTAAAAAAAAAATTAAGGACTGAAATTCTATGGCTTTCTGCAATAACTTTATTAAAGGTCTGACCAAATGGGCAAGGTTAAGTCTTCTGCACAGCTAATGATGCTTCAGAGGTTGGCGACTAATGTCTGTGTCTGTTTTGCCTCAGGTTTGAGGAGGGAGTGGGAGGAAGGATGGGATGCATAATTTCATCCACAGTTAGAAAAAGTATGGATCTAATGCAATCCAAGTCACCTCAAACAAACATCCTGGAGTAAGGTTTAGATATCTATCTCCAAAAGTCAACATCTGCAACTTCAGACAGTTCTGGTTTCTTTCTCAGGTCTCCTTCTCTTCCTTTCATAATTATACTTTGAATATTCTCATATTAGTGTATAATTTCCACAAAACATTATCAATGGGTA